TATATATATATATGTTACTTTAGATAATAATTCTCAAATCTATCAACTTTATTATGGTCTATATATATATATATATGTATGTTACTTTAGATAATAATCCTCAAATCTATCAACTTTATTATGGTCTAAAAACATATTTTAATTAATTAAAGATAAAACATACTATAACATATAAATACGACAACTAAAATCACAATAAAACAAGGAAATTTTGGATGAGTACTTTTTACTATTTCCGTCTACTTTTATTTGTCATATTATATTTTTTAAAAGTTAATTTGACTAATTTTCAAAATTAAATTAGATTTCATTATTTCGATATTTAAACAAAAATTTAGATATTTAAAAACTATAAAAAATTATATATTGCAATTTCTTGCGTACCAATATAATGAAAAAATATATCATAAAATGTTAGTTAAAATTCTTATAGTTTGATTGAAAAAGGAAAACCTTGACATTTTAAAGTGGGCGGAGGGAGTAGTAAATAATTATTAATTTAGTGATACTTTTCATTTATCACTATTTATAGCAATAACATGTATTAAAAGTGAATTATATATGCAATATATTTATACTATAATTGTTTTTTTAAAAGATATGTTATGCTTGTTTGATTAGAAATTAACACATTATATAATAAATCTATTAAAATGTGTGACATTTATTATCTATCAATAAAAATTGTCTTATTATATATGCTGTATAAATTTTTCTCTATAATAGGTATTAGAATTGTTTATAAATATATTAAAAATAATTTAAATAAATAAAAAATATTTTATTGATATAAATAGTGACTTTTTTTAAAAAATATAGTGTATTATTTATATAAGTTCCCAAAAAACACAATGACGCAACCAAGTTACTATTTTATCATTATTTTCTCTTATCCTTTTGGTGGACCAAATGGGACGAAGCCCATGCAGAGGCAGTCCGATGAAATCATTACGCTCTCCATACATAAAGTGGACCCCACAATCTTTTTTCTTTTTTTTTCACAAATCAAGTTAAAGCTTTTTTAACAGTTAAAAAAAAAGTCAAAACAAACCGCTTCAAACTGTTTATTCTTACTTAACAGTATCAATCTTCTTCTCCATCAACTTCATTTTTTCTGAGCTTTTTTCTTTTTACTTGAAAATGCAAGATCCGTCAAATCCAAATTCCATTAAGTTGCCGACGACAACGTTTTCAGCTGCATTCCGTCCATCTCACCACCGACGAGCTCACTCGGAGGTCAATTTCCGGTTGCCGGAGGATCTAGATCTGGTATCCGACCCATTCGATGCTCCGGCAGGAAGTTTCGAGGAGATCGGGTCGGAGGATGATTTTTTCTCTACTTATATGGATATTGAGAAGCTCGCCAGTGGATCTAATCTCACTGATATCGATGCTGCTGCTGCTCGAGTGGGAGTCGAGAGTAGTGATGGAGAGAAGAAGCCACGTCATAGGCATAGTAATTCTGTTGATAGTTCAAGTTTGTTGATGACGGAGAGTATTGAAGCTAAGAAAGCTATGGCTCCTGATAAATTAGCTGAACTGTGGACTATTGATCCAAAACGTGCCAAAAGGTAACTGTTACTAGTTGTGATGATTATCAATTTTCCCTTCTAAGTGATCGTTGATTCGCCTCGCTGCAATTCTGTTCTTCTCTGTTTACTTATGCTCCCCTGTTTTCTTTTCATGGATCTGAATTTTCAGATAAAGTCATTTTCTATTGAACAACATTGTAAAACTAATCAAGTTGTTTTGCTCTCTAATTCACTGCTTTGATGAAGAGCACAGTAAAATGAGGAATGTCATGTTTTTGTTTTACTCATTTTTGGTACTCTCTCCATTTTTTTTTAGTTGTCGACTTTTGAATTGACACATCTATAATGATATAGGGAATTGATCAATTTATCCATATTAATTATGAAGTAGATGAAAAATTCTACATTTTATAAAGTAATTAGTCATTTAATTAAAAAAATTAGAAACAACACTAAAAAGAAAAGTAAACAAATAAACAGGGAGGGAGAGAGTATTGAATAATATACCACACTCAAACTCAATAGGAAAGCTACTAAACCGATAACACATAGCGTAGGTAGAAATTTCTTTGAAGCAAGTACAATACAATTATACAAATGCTAAAGCACACAGTAGAAAGAAGGCAGTGAAGCACAGAGCACAGGCATGAGGTCTCGGATTCAATTTTCGTTTGAGATAAAAATGTTAGGTTATTTCTTCTCATGACGTATTTAGAAGGGGTGTTGTGGGTTCACGTAAATTCATGCTCCCTTCTTGAAATTATATAGTAGTATTATATTTTTAAGAAATTATTTAATTATAGATGTTTGAACTCACGATAAAAGCATCATATATATGATGATGATTGAGTGCACTTTTCTACGTGAGTTATAGCAATTTAAATTTTATATTTATCTTGTCTTTTTGAATAACACATCTCCAAGTGGTTATTAATCACGATCACACTTTTGAAGTTTTAATAATTTTTCTTTTGTCTTTTTTTATTTAATCTTTCAAATTTTTGGGAAAAGGTCTGAAAAATACTTCAACTTTGGCCGAAATTATTGTTATGATATCAAACTTTATGGACGAACTTTTACCCATCTAAACTATTAATAGTGTATTTAAAAGTATATATGTACTCACGCGGACATGTTACCATTTATAATTATGCAATATTTATGATGTCCACGTGGACACATATATACTTTTAAAATGCACTATGAAATAGTGCGGGGTAAAAGATTCTTTTCAAAGTTTGGTATTGTTACATCAATTTCGGTCAAAGTATTAAACCTTTTTCCCCAAAATTTTCAAGTATGTTACATCAAAAAGTTCTAAAAAATTAGCATGGTAAAATTTTATATAATTAAATTAAATATGTAGTTCAAAATTTAATATTAGTAGTATTATATATTTTTGACCTATAATTTTTAAAATTTAATAGTTAATATTAAGAACCTAAAAGTCAAACTGATGCACTTTTTTTTGTAATCGTGCACCCATTTTACTGAAATTCTAAATACGCCTCTGAATTATCTTCTCATATGTTCTAGCCTTAATGGGAAGAGTTACCTGAAACCTGCTGCTAGCGAAAGCTGTTGTTGGTAAGAAGTGGTAGATATCCTGTAAAATTAATCAAAATATGTGTAAGTTGACTCAAATACCATAGTTATCTAAAGAAAGGGCGACAAAACTCTAGATTAGTCCAACAAAAGCTTTTAATCTAAAGCTCCGACATGTGCGAAAAGTTAGGCTCAAACACCATAAAATTGGTCATAAGACTTGCATGATATAATAATTTTATGCTTTTCACTAGTAAAACTGGATAGATGTTAAGTTGAAAAGCGGATATCTATGTGGAACTGGTATATAGTATCTACTGATGAAATATATGCTTTAAAACTATCCGAAAAACAACGCTATGGAATTTAGAGTTGTTACTGCAAGTACTTTTATGCATCTTGTCTAAGAAGCACGAGTACTCTAAAGAAGAATTCATGCAAACTCCGAAGGCAAAATCTGAGTAAAAGTGCTACGTAGAGATATATATACCATATCAGTTAATGATCAACTCACACAAACATTTTTTGCTATAGAAGTTTGTTGAAGTCTACGTGTATTGATAAGGGAAGAAATTCTTAAGTTCAGATCTGCTATGTGTCTGACTTTTGAGAATTTTGGGCAGGATTTTGGCGAATCGACAGTCTGCTGCTCGTTCTAAAGAGAGAAAGACTCGTTATATATCTGAACTTGAGAGAAAAGTTCAGACCCTTCAAGCAGAAGCGACCACTCTTTCTACACAACTGACCCTTTTCCAGGTACTTGTTCCTTTTTACAACTTACATTCTAAAATCTCTAGTACAACTTTGGTTATTTTTTTGTTCTGTAAACTTCGGCAGAGGGATACAACTGGGCTAACTAATGAGAATACAGAGCTTAAGCTCCGGTTACAAGCAATGGAACAACAAGCTCAATTACGTGATGGTATGCTTCCCATCTATTGCTTTCTGCTGCATTGTTGCAATATTGTCTTTGATTTATATAGTCATTTTCCCCTTCCATCTCAAAATTGTCAGCTACTTAATTATAAACTCCTTGCCCGGAAGATACTGAACAAATAAAATCTAATGTTACGTTAAAATGACTTAATTACCTTATCCCTCTACACTCAGATAATAAAAGTTTCATCTGTTATAGAAAAACTACTGATGTTTTGCAAATCTTTCTCGTTCTGTTCCAAATCAACAGCTCTGAACGAAGCACTGAAACAGGAAGTTGAAAGACTTAAAATAGCTACAGGGCAGATATCAGCTTCCTCAGATGCATACAGTTCAGGAATGCAGCAAATTCAATATAACCGTCCAGCATTCTTTCCTCATCAGACGCAGCCAGGGCCAAGCGAATCACACAACATACAGATGTCGCAGTTTCACCACCTCCAGGACAGCATGTCTAATCCGCGTCACCCTCTACTTTCAGGCAATGTACAGGCTCTGGCAGACGCAATGCAACAAGATCCCGTCGGTCGTTTTCAGGGTCTTGATATTAGTAGCAGGGGCTCTCATCTCGTAAAGAGTGAAGCACCCTCCATTTCTGCCAGTGAAAGCAGCACTACATTCTAATTGAGTTGTCAATTCGTGCATTACACTCCCAACCATATTTATTAAACTGTCCATAGACTGACACGTGTTAATAAACCGTAGGAACTTCATTATTCTTAATTTTTTTCTGATTAGTTATTTGTCCCATTAGACTCGAGTTTAGGCTTAACAGGTTATGATATTTCTGTTTCTGTTCAGTTTCCTTTCTGAATCTGAAGCAAAACCTTATGATTTATTCATGTAATGCTTATAGGAAGGTTGTCCACTGTCACCACTACTTGGTGTTGCGACGTGTTTGTGTTGTTGCATTTTTTAGTGTTTGAACGTACCACTTCACTCTAGTTTTGAATAACTAATGTGTGGCTCCATAAGTAGTACTGATAAATTAATCCATTGCAGTAGAACATGTTTTTCACTTCATTTCATTGGCAGGACTTAATAGAAAATAGCATACATAGCGGAACCATTCCAGAATCATACATCTTGCATGAATATAAACAACAACCACAAATAGTCATCACATACAAAGATGCTGAAAATTAACTCAGAATTACCTCTTGAAGCAAGTGCAGATATCTTGAAGTAAATCCAACTCCAGCTCTATAGTCTTCTACAGTGATCCCAATCAACAATTGAACTCCCTCAATACTTGGGTGGGCAAGTATTGTATATAGAATCCTCAATCAAATCTTGGTTAGAAGACTCCCTATTTATAGAGATGTCTTCCTAGTCCAAAGAGGAGAAGAAAAGTCAATTCTTATTCTTCAAGAAAACTTCGAAACACACGTTTTTCCTTCAAAGAAAAAAGAACGCTACTTTTCCATCTTCTACTAGAAAATAGGATTCTGAGTTCTAGTTAAATTGGGCACCGGAGGGACCACAGAATTTATTACTGAGGCTTCCTATTATGGAAATAATTTTAAATAATTAATTTGAATTATTCTTATCATAATAAATTACAAATCACTCCACTAAAAATTCATAATTGAACTCCTCTATTTATTTCGAAATTCACCACTAAACACTTATTTGATTCCCCATGTTAAGATTACCGATACTAATCAATAAATTAAATTACTGACGAATTTAATTCAATGATTAACTTCTTTTAAAGCAATACTTAACTTATTTCATGTGCCAGATTCATAAATCTACCGGTCGGGTTTGCACATGAAAACTTACAAGCTTCTCATAAAAGGTGTATTATCAATCTCTATACTGAGACATATTCCATCAACTAACTAATTATTTCACCAATATATATTATTATCATCCAATCTACGAGGCATATTGACCCATCTCAGAATCTCACCTTTTAATAAACCAAAATGATAATTAATATATACAGATCATAATCGTTATATCAAGATTAAGAATGTAAGTACATTTAATAGTTTAGAGAATATGTTTTTATCAGTCAGTTTAAAACAACTATCTCTGTTTGGTCTCGTTCAATACATTCCAAATGCACTAGCACGAGAAGTTAGAACTATGTCATTCTCATAATCAAGATAAATTACATTTAATCTCGTGCTACAATCTTTCTGATGATTTTGTCCAAATTTCCATCTATGATTGTGAACTATAAATTTTAACTTATAAGAACTGATGATTTAATCTTCTGTGTATAAGCTTAAACTCTATACATCAAATCATTTACTATATAAGTTAAGGACACATATATGACAATTGATCTATTTAATGTAACACTTTATTGAATTGAATAAATAAATAAACAATTATTTAATATTAATACTATATCAAAACGCATGGTTAATAATATATCCTAACAGGACTAACAATAACATACTTAATGTAATCCCATAAGTAAAGTTTGGGAAGGGTAGAGTGTAACACTGACCTTACCCCTACCTCATGAAAGTAGAAACGCTATTTCTGAAAGTTCCATTTGTTGGATTTGATCATATGCATAAATGCTGGCTCTTCAGGTCCATTGTTTATCAGCTAGGTAAACTATTTTGTTTGAGCGCCTAAATGTTGAGTTTGGTCGTAACTGACAAGCCACTTGATTCTCTGTCTAATAAGTAGTACTCCCTCCATTTTAAAAAAAAATTATCTTTTTTTTTATTTAGTCTATTTCAAAAAGAAAAAGGGATAATGCACAAGTACCCCTTAACCTATGCTCGAAATCTCAGAGACACATTTATATTATATTAAGGTTCTATTAACCCCTGAACTTATTTTTTAAATAATTTTCTGCCCCTTTTCGGCCTACGTGACACTATCTTGTGGGCCCAATAATGATTGACTTTTTTTTCAAACTAGTGTCACGTAGGCTGAAAAAGGGTAGAAAACTACTTATAAAATAAGTTCAGGGGGTTAGTAGGACCTTAGTATAGTATAAGTGTGTCTCTGGGATTTTAGGTATAGATTGATGGGGTACTTGGGCATTATCCCAAAAAAAATGATCCTTTCTTTTTTTAATAACATTTTAATTTCAGTTTTTCACCTGGCATGTTTAAGGCTACAAGATCAAAGAGCAATTTTGTACATTTGACCTAACTTTAATTTACTACCATAAGATTTAAAAGTCTTCTTTATACTTTTAAACTCCGTGCTAAGTCAAATTAGATCATTTTTTATGAAACTGAGAAAATATTTTGTATATAACAACATTTCATTACGCCACTAAAAGAAAGCCAAAAAGTTATCCCGCTCTTTTATATTAACTATAAGTACTTTTGTTTGTACTTAAACAACCCTAAAATTTGTGAATAATGGAGGGTCTACTAAAAAAATCCGTTTTCTACTTTTTGGGGGTATGAAACGGAAGGCTTTGGATAAAAGAAAGAAAAAAGAACTTGGTGAGAACTACACTTCAAATATGATAGATAGAAAAACCAATTTGCTTATAGCTTTTCATTTTCTTGTAAGTTGTGAATTGTGATTAAGGGGTATGTCATGGATGACTGACAAATATCTACCATATTCCATGATTAATCAAAAATAATTACCACAAACCTAACATTCTCTTTTTCCTAAAAAAATAAATAATACTCTCTTTGTTCCTTTTTAATTGTCATGATAAGATTTGATATAACATTTAAAGAAAAATTACAAAGGAGTGTTGTTTGATCAATGAATTCTCTCTCGATTATTTAAATTGACAACTACTCCCTCCATCTCTATTAGTTGTTATCATTTTAGATTTCAGTTTCTTTAAAAAATTATGTAAGTTTACCATTAAACTCTTATTAAGTGTTCAAAGCAAATTTTCAATAAATGAACGTGAATTAATTACTCTGATTGACTAATTTGACCAATAAACACAAAAAAAATTTAGTATTTCTATGTTAGACAAATGTATATTTCAAGGATAATAACTTTTAATGGGTAAGATAGGAAAAATAGCGTTATTTATGTATTGATTTATGAAATAACGAATATTTAGGATCATTTATTTTAGTAAGGAAGACATATAAATAGAAATGGAGAAAATATTTTGAAATCAAATATATTTAGTATACATGACAACTAAAAAGGAAAGGAGAGAGTAATAAATAAAAGAAAATTTTCCTACTTTCTTATGATTATTGAACTAGGAAAGATAACTAGAGGTGCAAAAGTGAAAGTGTAACAATTAGCATCTATGCGGTCTGATGAATAAAAATTCTTTTTAATTTTATTAAAAAATTCAGATTCAAACAGTAGGAATAATAAATCTTTAATTTATATATCACGGCGTTATCTGATTCGACTTGATTATAAAATTAAATATAAAGCGTAATAATTGATTATATTGGATAAGGAGCTAGACTTAATATCTCTATTTTGTACAATAATAAATTATGTGCCTATTATAAAAGTAAACGATTTGTTATGTTGAGTCACATATAAAGTCCCGATTAGCATTTAACTCTGAAAGGAACCACACGTTTCACTCAATATTTATTTCAAACAATATAAGGTTCAAATTCATTATCCCTCTCATAAAAATGACTATGAAAATACGCTAGTAATTAGCTAACACACAGAATGGGACCAAAAATACCCTAGGAAATAAGAAGACCACATAATTGCACATGGCAAACGTAGAGAAAAGACACTTGTGATATAGAAAATCAAATGTGGGGCACTTCTGTGGATGCTCTAAGTGACCATGTCATTAAATAACATCCACTATTTGTAAAATTATGTCTTGTATCTTGAATCTCTATTGGACACATTTTCTTGTATAGTAGGAGGCAAGGCCCTCTTGGAGAAAGGTACATTGTGTTAGGGTCCAGTTCCCATGTTATTGAATTTCAATTGGGAGATATATGGCTCACAATTAGTTAGTAGAAAGTAGAAACAAAGGGACAATTCTCACTTGGTATTGGATCCTAACCTAATGACATTTGGATGAAATTACACATGACCTTTTTGTGTTTTTTCATTATTCCAAACCTAAAGTTTTAATCATTTGGTTTTCCCAGTGGGTGATATTTCATTAGTCTTAATCTCCACGTATTATTTCCTTTTTCAGCCAGCAAGATAGTCGCATTGTAATTATTTCATCATTAGAAGTACTTTATTTGAATATAATAGTATAGCAATAATTGAAGATAAAATTGACATGAGACGTCAATTCTGTATTAATATCATTTTATTGCCATTTTTTTCTGAAAAATAGAAAATAACTTCAGTTCATATTACTTTTGATATCACTGTCCATGATCTAAGACATAATGAATTTAGAATAATGTAATCTTATCGTGTGTATATATATATATATATATATATGTTTTAGTTTTACTTGACATCAACTTATCTCTAGTTTAAGTTTATAAGTCATTTTGAAAATGTGTCTCCAACTAAACTATGGGTAGGTTTGGTACGAAAGAAAACGTTATCCATGGAAAATGTTTTTCTAAAAAATATTTTTCTCAAAAACAAGTAAATTTTGCACTTATTTCTCATGTTTGATTGCTGATTAGAAAGTATTTTTCGGAAATGGTTTTTATTTTTTGATTTATGAATGGAAAAATGTTTTTAAGAAAAACATCTTTTATTTTTACTAGAGTAGAAAATAAATTATGAAATTTAAAATATTTTTTAAAAACAAAATTATTTTTTTGGAGGTGAGGGGCAGGGGGAAGGGGTAGGAGTTGAAAAAATAAAAAATTGAACTTGATAATATTTTTTAAAAAAAATAAAATTGGGGGGTTGGTAGGGGGTGGGTAGGGGGCTGGCGGGAGGGGGTAGGAGTTTAAAATTAAAGTAGAAAATATTTTTAAAAACAAAATTAATCTTTTCGGAAGGGGGAGGGGGCTGGCCAGTGGTGGGTGGGTGGTTAGGGATCAGGTCAAAAAATAAAATTTTGAAATTGAAAATATTATTTTAAAATTGATGTTTTTTCCAAAAAAAAAATGTAATTTAAAATTAGAGGAGAGTTTTGAAAAATATTTTCCTTAATTTTTTAAGGGAAGTTATTTTCCTTAATTTTGAGAAAAATGAATTGATTTAAAAATATTTTTTCAAAACTTTTGTGCCTACCAAACATGAAAAAATTGAAAAAAAAATTCTGAAAAATATTTTCTTTTCATACCAAACACACTCTATAACTACACTGAGTTAAGGCAAAATATTATTAAATTTTATGGAAATTGTAAATCCCAAAATGCAACTTTTATATATTCTCAACGTGAAAGGGACAAAATAATATCTTAGGGCAAGAAAAAAAATTTTGTATAGTAATTATTGGACGTCTCCAACTCCAAAGTCTCATTTTTTCTTTTGAAAAAACTCTCTTTAAACAATTAATTTAACAATCGGGGCGGCATCTATAGTAAGCTATTTTAACTATTCATGTTTAAAATATTCACAAGTCTATTCATATATATTTATTTAAATTTGGATTTCACAAAAATCATGCTTAATATATAATAATGATAATAATGTATTTTTTTTCCTCACCATAAGATATGATAATGACGTACGGATATAGTAGGGGCCGTAATGTCCGCTTCTTGCATGTTACCCTAACATGGTAGGCCCTAAACTTTTTTACATTATAATTAACCTATTGCATTTCAATTTATTTATTTTATTTTATTTGACTCAATTTTAAAAAGTAAACGAACTAAATAAATTTTTTATTTTGTTTCAATTTATCATCTATACCTTGAATTTTGTAAAAAGGTTTACTGTCATTTTTATCGAAATTATTGTTACGATATTAAATTTTTTATAGAGGATCTTTTATTTATGCCCTATTTAATAATATATTTAAAGTATATATATGTATTTATGTGAATACATTATTATTTATAATTATGCAATATTTATAATGTTTATATGGGCATATAATAATTTTAAAATATACTACTCCTGTTAAATAGTACAAGGATAAAATATCATTTGTAAAGATTGGTATCATTTCTACAATTTTGATCAAAATTTAAATATAGTTCAAACTTTTTTCTCATTATCAATTTAATACATGTGTTGAAACCCTTTGTATTATTAATACATGAAAATTCATAGGATTAGTAACACATACCTCAATAACAATAGAATCTACAGACTAAAAAATGTACCAAACGTACACTAAAAAAATGTAACAAAACAACATATTAATATATACTTTTTTTGTCTACTTTTATTTGTTATGTTACACTTTTTCGAAAGTTAATTTGACTAATTTTCAAAGTTAAATTAGATTAAATTAATTTGATATTTTAAACAAAAAAAATTAGATATTCAAAAATTATACGAAAAGTACTAAATATTGCAATTTTTTGCACATCAGTATGATGAAATATATATTGTAAAATGTTAGTCAAAGTTTTATAGTTTAACTCTAAAAATGAAAAGTATGACAATTAATAATAGATTGGGGAGGAATACATAAAGTTAATTTAAGAATTATTTTTTTCTAATACACTCTATCATACTTAGGTTCGGATGGCCTTTCACTTGCCTAGGCTAGTAAACATCTCTTCTGGGTGCTAGCTGATTTGCTTTTCTTTTAGCAATATAAGGCAAAATCGAGTGCATTAATTTAAAGAATGTTTTTTCTTTCGACGTAAG